TCAGAACTCTTTAGTTCTGATGAACTAAGTACAGATCGCGTTCACACCGGAATAAGTCCCTGGGGGTGGATTAGGCTAATTAAGCCGCTGCCGTCACTTCTTCTTCTTCTGCTTTGGGTTTACTGGCAGGCCGCAAACCACTTCACGGCGTATACTGCCTTCCAAAGTCCCCCGGCCGGAAGTCCCCGGAGTTGGAGACTGGCTTCAGTAGAAGCTGCTGGGACTCCCAGCAGCTTCTACTGAAGCCTTCCGAGTAAATCTCCAGAACGCCGACACCTCCTCATCTCCACCGCTCCCATGTTTTATTTTGTGTTGCCATAAGTTAGTCTCCCTGCGTTTCTGCGCTGGGCTAATGCTAATGCTAATCATGCTAATGCAAGGATAATAAAATGGCGGCTTCACAAAACTTTTTGGGAGTTTTAAGGGGCGTGGTTTTCATTCCGCCCAGCCAATCAGACATAGGAACCTTTTTCTCCCACGGAAGTACCTGCTCTCTAGCAGGGACTGAAAAGGGGGTAAAAAGGTTCTCATGAACTAATTTTAGTTCCGGCTCTTTTTGGTGTGAACGCGACATTTCGGAACTATATCGGAACTAAAGTGGGAAAAGTACTGCGGTGTGAGAACGAACCTATTGATACCCATCCCTAGTAACAAGAGTGTAACGCTGACCATGGATGCTTTCACAAATGTTTTAAAGAATGAGCGTCCTGAATAATTATTATCAGTAATGTGGATTCAAGGAATAAGTGGGTAAAGAAAAATGTCAGGGGAGCTTGGACAGTCTTGTATATTGAGAAAACAACATGAGTTAACTGTAATGCAGCCTTTAAAACCAGGAAGACACGACGCCTACTACATTAAGATATAAGTAACATCTAGTCTTACTTCACAACAAAGATAATAACAATACATATTGCCCAGCCTGATGTTAAAATGATGTTATATCAGATGAAAAACTCACTTGTCTGACTATCTGATTGGGGCACTTGATGAGGATCTGCATCGGCCACCAGTTATCATCCGCCATTCGATCCAAAAACCACTGAAACAGAGGAGAAGTTAAATGAAAACACCATACAGTAAATATAGGATCACGAGACATCATAATACTGAGAGTAAGTAATGGTTAAAGCCCGTTTCTGACCTCGCAGGCGGCCTGGCTGTTGTTGAACTGTTTGGTCAGGAGCTCGATCCACTGCAGCATCGTGGGCTGGAGGTCAGAGAGCAGGAAGGAAGTCAGTTCATCTACACTTTAGTTAGAAATTAAAAGTCCTACAATCAGCTGAGAGGGCGTTACCTTCTCCTTGGAGTGGATGAAAGTCTCGAGGACAAATGATGTGCTGAGCTGTGAAGAGAAGGACATTAACAGTGATCAAATGCAAACAATTTTGATCAAAACAATTTACAGATTTTCTATTTACCACCAGTTTTGTGCCCAGAAAAAATTACAGAATTTTTTTTTTTCAAACAGAATGCCTTACAATGTTTCTGTGGCTGCTACTAATTTATTTTCATACCCATTAGGCTTTAGTTAATTATTATATTTTGATTAATTTGGATTATAAAAAGGTCAGAAAAAAAGAGATATTTCGATTTCTAATGACACAAAACAGAGAGAATGAACAATTAAGATTTTTTGTGATTTTTGCTATAAATAAAATAAATACATAAAGACTTAAAGATGATAATAATAAAAATATATTTATGTTGTTAGCGCTTTTAAAAAGGTGCTCAAAGACGCTTTACAGATATAGTGAAAAGAAAAGAAAGGAACAACAAATAAATATATAGTAAATATATACTAATATAATAATAAATATATGATGATATATATATATAATCAACCTATATTACAGGGGTGTCAAACTCAATTTCATCATTATGGTTGCACTCAAAGGGCCGGTTGTAACTTTAAGACTTTATAAATATACATATAAAAATATTTAATATATATAAAATAATGTATTATATTACATTATTGCTTCTGCATTGGATTATTATGAGATGGGGTAATAATTGCAAGTCTCTTCAGTGCCATGTCACAAAATGAGATGCATTGTGGGACATGTAGTTTATGGGCATAAAGTGGCATGTAACCGTATAATAAACGCATTATATTCTTTGCAAGCTCTTGCAGGCCACATAAAATGAAGCGGGCCTCGAGTTTGACACCCCTGACCTATACTTTATGTTTAAGCTGTATTATTGCTCACCTTAGCGGTCATGAGGGAGACGGCTTTAGGGTCGGGGAGCGTGCTGGGGATGCTGCTGCAGAGCTGCCACATGAAACTGAAGGAACACAAAGGAATGAGTATAAGCAAATGTGGAAGGGTGAGTATAGATGGTTTCATTCTATCAAAAATAACTAGATGGGATACCCACCCAAAGTAAGTGTGTTCAAATATATTTTTGTCCTGGAGAAACTGCATGTTGTCGTGCCAAATCCACTGCAAGAGACAGACATTAGCGATTAGACGTCACTTCATATACATGTATTGACATTATCCAAAGTGTAAAGAAAGTGAAACCACGGTACCTCCAGCAGATCAGGAGAGACGTCAAAACTGAAGTCCTTCCCGTTCTCCTCCTCCAGCTCCACTCGCTTATAGAACAGCATGTAGGCACTGTGTGTCTGCGAGACGATGAACATGTCGTTATTACTTTCTGGAGCAAACGTGGTGACATGGACATTTTAAATGAAACTGATCCTCACCTTCTCAAAAGAGAAATCCATGAACTTGTCCGTGACAGAGTCGTAGGTTTTAGTCTGAAAGATAAAACTCATGTCAGCAAAATCCAAAAGAGTCAAATACAATTAATTTAGTGTATTTATTTACTGCAGCTCGTACCGTCATTTCTCCTCCGAAGCACTCAGAGGCCAGCTGGGCCGAGTCGAAGGGCTTCACCTCGGCATCGTTGAACAGGTACCTGCAGGAAGATTGGTTTTTAAATCCTACTTCATATCTGATATTGAACGTTTTCAAAAACCAGGTGCATAAGACTGATGTCTCACTCGATAAAACCATTCAAACTAAAAAGATAGTTCCACTTTCACAAGCTCAAAATGTAATTTTACAAACAATATGATGTGTGTGTGTGTGTGTGTGTGTGTGTGTGTGTGTGTGTGTGTGTGTGTGTGTGTGTGTGTGTGTGTGTGTGTGTGTGTGTGTGTAAAAGGTCTTTGAATTTGATGTGTTTCCTTAGGGAAGCAATTTCTTTTTGATATCAAAAGTGTTTATCATTTATATTTCAGCAAAGGATGGATTTTCCAATCAGTTTCAAAGCTTTCTGCCATTTGTCCGGCATTGCAGTCCGTCCGTCCGTCCGTCCGTCCGTCCGTCCGTCTGTGTGTGTCTGTGTCTGTCTGTCTGTGTCTGTCTGTCTGTCTGTCTGTCTGTGATATAGTTACAGCCCTACTCACCACTTGTTGTTCTTGTAGGCGTGCGGGTTGACGATGTCTCTGATGAAGCTGTAGTAATGGCCGCCGTCTGCTGTGCCCGTGTGGACCGTGACGCCGATGAGGTCGTACTCGTAGCTCTCCGTGACTTTTGCCTCTCCTTCTTCCCGAAAACCTGCAACACGTGACAGACAACGCTCAGAAACTAATGTAGTTTATCAGAAATGTACTGCACATTCCACCGTGTCTCCCATGACGTAGCCAAACACAGATTTCTTTAGTACAGTTTTGTTCTCATTAAGGTATTTTGTAAGTGTTCCTTGATGTTTGGACGAACCCTCTTTGCGCTCTCCCTTGCCCATGAGGAAGTCCTCGGTGTAGGGCGTCATGTCGAGGCGCAGCGGGAAGGAGAAGTGTGTGTTGACCTTCTCCTTCATCATCGTCACCATGTTGAAGGTGTATCTCATGGTGTTGAAGCTCAGGATCCGCGGAAGCTTCTTGAAACACGCCCTGAGGGAAGAGAGACGAAGGATAGAGTGAGATACATTACAGGTGAAGTTGTGAAAATTGCCCTTTTTTGTAATCTTGCATGTTGTTTTTTTACATGTGTAGGAATTAGGATTAAAATCAATTTGCTTCTAGTACGTTTTTGGAAGAAAATTCAGAAAGGCGGTTATACTAAAAGTGATTTAGTTCTATTGAGGTTGAACTAACAAAAAGTACACAGATTGTGCCTTTCTGCTCTTCTGTTTGATTGGTCAGTTAGTTTGACCTCTGGTAATTGGTGGAGGTCAGTAAGAGGGCGGGACATTCAGGCGATACAGAACATAAAAACATAAAATCTATACGGTTTATAAGGATCTATTTAGTAGCAGGGCATCATTATTTACCCTAAACACGTTACCCTTCACTGTAGCTAAACACCAAACACCCGATCATTCCAGTCTTAAGTAATAATGAATGTTTATAATTAATATCTACCCCAAAACAGGTGTTAGGATGTTACACATGATACCCCTAGATTCCACCGGGTCCGTCTGCACCGCGTTACGGCGTTCACAGCGATCACGGCCACTCTAGTCAATAGGCGCATTCACACCGCAGTACTTTTCCCACAAAGGTTCATGAGAACTTAGTTCATGAGAACACTTTAGTTCTCATGAACTAAGTACAGATCGCGTTAACACCGGAATAAGTTCCTGGGGAAGGATTAGACAAATGAAGCCGCTGACGTCACTTCTTCTTCTTCTGCTTTGGGTTTACTGGCAGGCCGCAAACAACTTCACGGCGTATACTGCCACCCGAAGTCCCCGGCCGGAAGTCCCCGGAGTTGGGGACTGGCAAGTTTGGGAAGTTTTCCGAGTAAATCGTTGGAAAACGCAGACACCTCCTCATCTCCACCTCCCCCATGTTTTCTTTTGTGTTGCCATAAGTTAGTCTCTCTGTGTTTCCGCGCTGGGCTAATGCTAATAATGCTAATGCGAGGATATCAAAATGGCAGCTTCACAAAACGTTTTGGGAGTTTTACGGTGTGTGGTTTGTATTCCACCCAGCCAATCAGACATAGGAACCTTTTTCTCCCACGAAAGTACCTGCTCTCTAGCAGGGACGGAAAAGGGGGTAAAAAAGGTTCTGATTAACTCATTTTAGTTCCGGCTCTTTTTGGTTTGAACGTGACATTTTCGGATATATCGGAACTAAAGTGGGAAAAGTACTGCGGTGTAAACGCGGCTAATGGGTGCTATTCCACCAGACGCGCCGCGTTACGGCTAGA